CTCCGAAGCAGAACCACTAGGGTCAAGCCCGCCCGCGGTGGAGAGGATGAACCTTGGAGGTAATGGCAATACTGTTGCATTTCAGAACAACAACCTGACAACGGCCGTGGTTAGTGCAGCAGCTGGGCCTTTCGTAAACACAACCCTTACAGCCCCTGCCAACCCAACGGGCGTCTTTATACCTGCACCAGTTCCTTCTGCTGTCGTCCGTGTGCCTGCTCACATGGCTCGCACAATCATCGAGGACGTTGAAAAAGTCGTCTTGAAATACGCCTACTTGGAGCTTGAGCGAGACGCCAGCGCTGCTCCACAGACCGTTGTCCGGCCATATCTTACTGCTCTGCAGGAAGGAGACATATCCAAAGCCATTGTTGGACTGTACCATGCAAATGCCCAAGTGCGGCTCTCATTGGACCCGCACGACCCTACCAGAACGATTATCGATCCCACCGGCAATGACTATCCCTGCCGAGGCAGAGGCCCTATCTGGAAAAACAACTCGAGCACCATCGACAGTCTGATTGTTGTGGGCAAGTTACTCGACGCCGGGTCCACGGTTATCGATCGTAAGAGAGCTGGATGGGAGACCCGCTTTAGTACACTGGAGCGAGCCTTTATCGAGGCCACTGACGTCAATTGGGATGTTCTCTCTCTGGACGAAAATTCAGAAATGAGAGACCACTTTTGGGACGTCGTCCAGGAACACGTAGCAGGCGTCCAGCCTGGAATACTCAGCCCTTTGTGGACTGTCTGGTCTGATTGTGCAGGGCACTTTGACCAGTTCCATTTCACGTACCGGGAAGCAGTTGCGCCTTGTCAATGTACCGGGCAGGCTGCCGCTGTTCAAGCACATACCAAAACCTTCGTGGCGCCCGACCTGCATCCTGGTGATATGCATGGGGTGTGCATGAACGAGGTGATGGCCCGTCCGTTCGCGCCTCTCCTACATGCGGACTGTGCGACATGCAACGCACCACAATCTGTGACCATTGAGAGAAGGTTTGACACTCTTCCCCTGCGCATGGTGGTGGGTCTCGACGAGCAGGTTTCAATCAAAAACCACACCAAGGACATCACGTTCGACTTTTGCGATGGCGATGGTCAGCTGCAAAAGGCCACGTACCGTTGGTTGGGGGGTATTTACTATAAGGATTACCGGTATCGCGTGTTCTGGACGGACACCAAGAGAGGAGAGACCGACAATGGCTTCCTCAAGATGTATGACAGCACGATGAACTCGGGCCTGATCATCGGCGATATTCCACCGGCTCATAAGGATGAGAGGGTACCTCCGGAATGGTGGAGAAACACCGCGGTGCCGTTCCTCGTTTACGAACGAGTCATGGACCCGGAACCGGAAGTATTCAGTCTTGCGTATCACTCGTTGCTTGACATGATGAAGGTGAAAATGGACGGCAAACTGGTTGCCCAAGAGCATACGCCCTGGACCAAAGCCGAACCTACTCTTCCCACGCAGTCACCTCCCTGGGACCGGATTTTGCCCAACGCAGACCGCTTCAAGCTTGCAGCAGATGGTGATACAGAAGAACAGGGTGTTCCTGTGCGCAGTCAGACCTCCGTCAGCTCGTCTGGCCACTCGTCAGGACACTCGTCAGGACACTCGTCAGGCCCTGAATTACCCTCCGCTCCAACATCAGTCCGATCTTCTATGCGAGTATCTCCGGTTCCAACAGGGATGAAGCAGGCTGCAAACGCGCAGGCTCCCACCACATACACGTCTGCGATACCAGCCACTATCGGGCCGTTTGTCTCGACTTTTGCAACGGCGCAACCTGCAGGCGTGAACCCTTTCGAGATCAACCCGCCAATGAACACGACTAGCCTTTTCAGCGGCTTCAATCGTAGAAGCAACAGCCCGCAGAATGCGTTCGGCAATTTTGCCAATTTCACAAACACGCTCATGATGCAGCCGACCGGTGACCACAGTGCAATGTCTATTTCGCCCACGCAGCAATTCTTCTGGATCCCATCCGCGTCGAATAGCCCCGAGAAACAGAGAACAGGGCAGGTAAGTCAGCCGTCACCGGACATGATGGCGGGATTCGCGGTGTGTGGAGCCGTACAGCCATTTTATATGCGTGTGTCACCGAAGCGAGCCATTGAAGAAGTGCAGGACAATGGCGACAGCAATAATCGCAGCGAAGGCAACGATATCAACGCGACCAACGACGGCGATGGTGACAATGGTGTCGCGGCAGACACCACGATGGGGCCGCCTCCTAGAAAAAGAGCACGTACTCGGGCTGAACGGACCGAACGAGTTGGCACCAGGAGAAGCGCAAGGCTCAGTGGATAATTAGGTGAGGTTCTGCTTGTTCTATTTTGCTTTGGGTCGGAGTTTGCTAGCTTGTTGCAGCTTGCCTACATTAACAGTGTGTTGGGTCAATAATATGTTTGTTTTGCCATATTGAGTTCGTGAGTTTCCTAGTCGGTTTCCACCTGCGATGATAGTCAATAGACAATTCATGTCTATAACTGCTGTAGAGAATTTCAACAAGGTAGTACATGCATACAGTGGCTACGCTGCACCCAAGCAACCAGGTCAACCGTCAGCATTACAGCCGTCTCTAGACCGAGGAACATGCATAAGCAGATCAAACCATGATCATAATAAAAGTAAATGCTATGAGTAATAAAAAGCTCGACAACCAATGAATTATAAATGCTAGTGAAGCGGAGGTGCCGTTGATGCCGTTCGTCTGTGCGGCTGCAGGGATACTTTACTTCCCCGCATTTCATCTCCCCTTTCCCCGGCTATATTAGTACTGTGTCTTCCTTCTATTGTGCTTGAACAGTTCAACATTCTTGTGATGGTAGAAGACTCGATTTCGGTCTAGAGCAAATGAAATCAAACATGGTATTGTATGCGTCTAATCTATACATGTACATGCACCCGTGATCTAGGTTATCTAGTCCGATCCTGTATCAACAAAAGGAAAGATTCTAACATATTAACAGGAAGAGGAAAGTTTACAGCTTAGCCCGAGGGCATCCGCCCTGCGCCGCCGCCGTCGCCACAGGACATCCACCCTGAGCACCCCTGGCCGGCCCAGTGGGGTGATTGCTCTTCTTCGGCGCAGAGATGTAGCCGCCCTTGACGTTATCGGCGTTGATGACGCGGTCCTTCTCATCACGCTTGATACCCAGCTCCATCAGCTTGGCAAACGCCTTGGCGAAGTGGTCGAAGAACAGGTCCTTGTCGGCCGCGTACTTCTCCACCCACACGCGGAACGCGGGGTCCGTCTTGAGCGCGATATCCGTCGGCAGCATCATGAGCGGCTCGTCGCCCTCCTCCGCTTCTGGGTCCACATACACAAACTGGCTGATCCCGTTCGGCAGCGTCTTCGGCTTCCAGTCCAGCTTCAGCAGCAGGTTGAAGAACTGGTTCGAGAACCGCGTCGGGTTGTTCACCCACGGGCCCTGGAACCCGCTGCGGTCGATGTGGCATCGGCCGAGGGTATGCCCGCCCGCCAGCGCCACGATCTCCTGGTCGTTGAAGCCCATCCGGTAGAAGACGGCGCGGAGGTGCTCGGCGCCCTGTGCCGCGTCGGGCAGCCGGCCGCGCGGGGGAACCTTGGAGTCGTCGACGAGGTCCGTCCGGCCGGGCTTCCAGACGATCGAGGGGCCGCCCAGCGCTTCGATGGCGACGACACCGGCTAGTGTCCACAGATCGGCGTATGTGATCCAGGGGTGTTTCTCCTTGACGGGCTCGAGGAAGGCCCGGCCGTGCTGGAGGCCGGCGTTGGCGGGGTCGCCGCCTTCGGCTTCGTAGCGCATGCCTGCGCCGTTGGAGCCGCCGGTGTCGGTTTCGAGGTCATATGTGCCTGCGGAGTGCCTGATAGAGAAGAAGCGTCAGTGGCGAGTGGGATAGACCCTAGGGAAAAGAGGGAAAGAAAACGAACCATGCGAGTCGTACGAATACGGGTCCTGCGCTGCCGTCGTCATAGTCGGGTTTCTTCAACTGAGCAATGATGTCCTTGCGGACGGCGTCATAATCCCCCGGTCTGCTCATTTCGGCCGATTGTGTTCTTTCTGGGGTATCGATAGGTGGGTCAACACACAACTGCCTCTACAGGTCGAACGCAAATTTCAGAAAAAAGAGACAGAACACGATGGGTATCGATAGTCAAAAGGAAAAGAATGTACAATGAAAGAGAGGAAAGAAGGTCAAGGCCACTGAGCCTGGGAGGCGTCGACTCTTTTTCTTGTCAGTTGTCGCACATGAAGGACAAAAGGGAGTGGATCCGCGGACCGAATCAGTGCAAAGATTCTGGCCGATAAGTGTTCAGATGCCGAGGTCCATTTCATTTGGTCCCAGCAGGAATGATCTGATATATCTGCTTGATTACTGGCCTTTTTCTTCGCGGGATCTGGACCGGATTCTGGAAACATCTGGGGAAGCATCGCGAGATTTTTTCGCGTAGCTGATCATCCGGCTGTACGGAGGATGCTATACTCTATCGCGTCAGTAGTCAAAGAAATCAGCGACTACCGCGAGAACGACCAGAACGAGATTACGGAGTATAGAATTCCCTTTGATGATTAGATTGATATCATCCTTGTCGTCGGATGCTTGTGAGTGCTGCCAGGGGTGTGCTGGGAATCCCGATCCGAAAGTTCTGCGCGATTCAACCTCGGAACTTTGATTCCGCTTTTTTAGGATTCACAAGTCACCAATGCTACTATCTATCTACCTGCAGTGGATATGACGATTTAATTCAGCATTGACTATCTATATGAATACTAATGGTCAAATATCTCATTTATAGAGATGGGACAATCTCTAAAAGGAATAACCACCCAATGGCTGAATTTGCCACAGAGACATCCACCAAAATTCATCGGCCAATTACGGACAACAGGAGAACATTGCCACGTGAAATTGATGCTATTTTCAAGTCTGCAATTTTAAAGATGAAAGCATAGAGCACCAAAATTTGCATTGATGTCACCAGGAATACTCATCAGTCGCCCTGCCCCTATCCCCATACTTTGATATCTACTTTTTTCACCAACTCCCTTCTCATCGCCTTATTCATCACCTCTAGATCCCACACTCTCTTCCTCCACCGTAAATTGACTGCATCCGCTCGCTTCACCAACTCGCCAAACTCCTTCCGCATCCATTCCCTCTCACTCTTCAGCCGTCGCGCCAGCCGCGTATACCGCTTCACCTTCCGCTCTAGCATCCGGCGCTGCGAAGCCTCCGTTCCCTTGATGATGTCGATGACGCTCTCGATGGAGGCTGTGTGCTCATCGCTCAGAGTACCGTTTTCGATGTGCTTGGAGATGCAGATGAAGGTGGCTGTGATGTCGGTGGCGATGGAGCAGAGGAGGGTGCGTTTGGAGGAGCTATCTAGGTCCGGGAGGGTTTGGAGGCGTGAGATGTAGGATGTGTGTCTGATGTCTTTGGTCATTCCGTAGTGATTAAATAGTTGGAACTGTAGAGTGTAGATATAGAAGGTAGGTGAGGTGGTATGTAGATATAGCCATGCCTTATATTATAATTTATAACAGATTGTTTAATTCCAGCATCTCTGCTTTTTCGTTATTGAATCAATATGTAGAGGACATGCCATGCAAAACAGAATAAGCAATGTTTGAACTCTGGAAAGGATCTCTTTGTTCACTCCCGTCACTTGATTGCGTCCATTGTTCTGGTGAACCAGAAATGAGGCTCAAGTTTCGTCTCACTACTGGGGGAAAAGAGTCTAGACTCACGAAGATTCTTTCATGAGTCTGTCTTAATCGGAAGCTTCGCTGAGCCTTCCGGAGCCATCAGAGTTATGAGCTACCCTGCAGTGCAGCAACAATTGCATCCCCAACTTCATTCGTCCCCGATTTACCTCCCAGATCAGGGGTGCGGATCCCAGCATCCAGAACACCCTGAACTGCCTTTTCGATCTGTTGCGCCTCGGTCTCCATATCTAGCGAATAGCGGAACATGAGTGCCACGCAGAGGATCATGGCGACCGGGTTGGCGATGTTCTGGCCTGCGATTCTGCAGATTATTGTCAGCTTGCTTCATAGTGAAACAGGAAGGAAGGAACGTACGTCGGTGCAGATCCATGTGTCGGCTCGTACAGACCATTGGTCCTCTTTCTCGTCTCGCTGGGTAACCCATCGAGACTGGCGCTGGGAAGCACGCCCAGTGTCCCGACGATCGAACCGGCCTGATCGGAGATCATGTCGCCGAATGTATTGTCGGCCAGAATGACGCCGTTCAAGGCGCGCGGGTTGGTAGCTAGGATCAGCGACGCCGAGTCGGCCAGCTGGTGCACGAGCTTCACCTGGGGATACTCAGTCGCCATTGTCTTCTCAACGACGCGCCGCCACAGCCGCGAAGAGGCGAGCACATTGGCTTTGTCCAGGGAGATGACAGGCCACGGAGGGTTGTGGCGGAGGGCGATCTCCGCAGAGAGACGGGTGATGCGCTGGACCTCGCGCTCGCTATAGCCCCATTCGTCCATTGCTGCGGAATAGCAGAGTCAGTCTCTAAAGCTTACTGCTTGTAAATGACGACGTACCGTAGTCTTCTTCTTCAACCTTCTTTCCGAAATAGGCTCCTCCGCAGTTCTCTCGTACCACGACGAAATCTACACCTTCAATAACTTCCTGGCGGAACGGGCTAAACTCCTTCGCGATCGACGCACTCGGCGAACTGGCCGAGCACGGTCTGAGATTCGCGTAGATGTCCATCACCTTGCGCAGCTGCAGCAGGCCCCCTTCAGGCCCGTCAAGTCCACGACGGATATGGTCCCATTTTGGACCTCCGACTGCTGCGAAGAGCACGGCGTCGGATTCCAGAGCGGCCTTTTTGACTTCTTCTGTGACGGATTTCCCGTGTGCGTCGATGCTGCAGCCCCCGATGAGCTCTTGCCGGAGGTTGAACTTTCGGTGCTCATTCTCAAAGACTTCCAGCACCTTGACCGCTTCGGTCATGACCTCAGGACCGATCCCATCGCCGGGAAGGACGAGAATGTTATAGGTAGTCGCCATCTCCTTGATTTAGTGCTGATAAGAGGTAAGTGCAGGAATTGATCAATGTCCAACGAAATACCACAGAGTAGATTCAAATCTTGATGGTTCATGGAAAAGCTGTATCCTGTCGACAAAGAAGAATATAAGCATAGTGTAGCACCTGTATCGGCTATCGGTCTCCAACCGATGCTGCGGGGTTGACGAGACCGCGGGGTTCGTCCGACTCAGTCCATTCAAGAAATTATGGACTGAGTTGTACGGCATTATCTTAAACGGCACATCTGAAGCTAAGAGGCGTGAAAAGAATGGACGCTGAAGGAGCGATGTGGCTTGTGCTAAGGCACTGTCAACCGTGGCTCCAGCAGCTGATCTGATAAACATTGGAGTCAACCAGGGATGGTATGTTTATTTCAACGACTCAGCAGTCAGCCGATTGGAATGAAACGGTAGGATTTCGTACTCCAATGGCATCTCATGAAACAGCTGTCTATGGGCATGGATAATTGCATTGTGATATAGATGTACCCCCCGCAAATGTCCGGTACCGGGGGGATGTGCAGACGGTAGACGAAATTTCAAAATGCCGGATAACTTGACATTTCCGACCCATTTATGAAATTTCCGATTATCTTTCCAGCAAGACTCATCATCCATCTACATAGCTACCTGCCGCTGCCCTTGATGTACGGAGTAGCTCTGAGGTATCTTAGGGACGAACAATGGCGGAAGGACGGCTCACCGCCTTCTAACTTCAACGCAACAAGGCAGAAGGGCAAACCCTATCCCCTCTTGTTTGCAACGTTTGTTCTGATCGGCGTTTGTCAGGTATTGATTTCGGGAGACTTTTTTGATCAAGACTTCGAACAGTTGCTTATTCAACACAGATAGCACGATGGGTCAAATAGAGGAGCTTCCAGACGACTTCGACGAGCGCCTCAATCTCAACGAACAGCCTCCAGCTACCGAGGTGCCTCCCAGCAAAATCTACAATGACGGCCCTTCTCCCGCCGTGGAAGAGACTCCCTTTCCGATCAACGAAGAGAGATTGAAGGAGGTCGAAAATGACCCCAGGGCACCCAAGCTGCCGCCGGCCATGGCGTCAGTTAAGTCGCATACGTCGGAGGAGCTTTGGAGCATGATGAATAAGACCCCGCTGTTCATGACGGATATTAATCAGGCGGGCGACGAAAGTAAGCTTATCCTCCCCGGTAGATGGAATTTGCATGACAAAGACTGACGATGCACTCGCTGCATAGATGGTGAAAATCCCATGCTCGATGCCCTCCAAGCACTCCAGAACGAAGGTACCCGTGGCGAAGTCGCCCAGAGCTACCGCGAGCAAGGCAACGAGGCAGCAAAAGAAAAGAGATGGATCGATGCCAAGGAGTTCTATACCAAGGCTCTTGCGGTGGTAACAAGTAAACTCGACAAGTGGGATAAGCCGGAAGATCCTAAAGAGGAGGAGAAGCTCCTGCGGCAGGTCGAGGAGGCCTCATACATCAACCGCGCCCTATGCAATCTGGAACTGAGTATGTCACTGCATTATGGCCACACCTGGCACAAGTTGCTAATTTGGCCCAGAAAATTATCGTTCTACCACCCTCGACTGCGCCTCTGTTCTCAGGCTCAACCCGAAGAATATTAAAGCTTATTATCGTTCCGCGATGGCGCTTTATGCACTCGACAAGCTTCCAGAGGCCGAAGATGCCGCTTCGCGGGGTGTCGCCCTTGACCCCAGCAACAAGTCGCTCCAACAAGTGGCCGCCAAAATTGCCGATCGCAAGGCAACTCTGGAGCGTATTGCGGCGCGAAAGAAGGCGGAGGAGGAACGGATACAGAAGGAAAAGCTGATTCTCAGTACTGCACTACGTGCCAGACAAATCAGGACTCGCAAGACAGCGCAACCGCCGGACATGGAGGATGCACACATTCGGCTGACTCCCGATCCCTTGTCTCCCGAAAGTACCCTAGAGTTCCCGGCCGTGCTGCTGTACCACATGGACGCCCAATCAGACTTCATTAAAACGTTCTCTGAGACGACATCTATTGGAGATCACCTGGAGTACATCTTCCCATTGCCATGGGACACCAAGCAGGAGTATACGATTAACAGCGTTGATTGCTTCATGGAAACCGTGACAGGGGGACTGATCAAGGCCGGCAAGAAACTACCACTTCTGCAGATCCTTAGCGGGGGCAAGGTTGAAGTAGTCGACGAGCTTGTCAGGATCTACGTGATACCGACCTCCAAGAGTGCAAAATTCATTGCCGAGATGAAGGCCAGAAAAGAAGGCTGATCCTTAGGAGTACAACCGGTTAGAATTTCCGTTGACCGGCGCATTTACTTCAGGGATGCACTGGCTATTGCACGTGCAGTAGTCCGTCAGACTGAATGCTTCTGAGCTCACACCGTGGCCTAGCAGGCTTAACGTTGGGCAACATCCCGTCTATCTGTCTACCCCAGGGAAGAGACGTTGCTCTCCACATGCTGCACTCCGCAGAGATTCATGTTACCGTGTACTTCTCGGATCTTCGATACCTGAATATCCTTGGGGTACCTTATAACTTCAATGATGTACATAAAGCCATAGGCTGTTCTGCAGGCTGTATTTCTTCAGCCTGTACGGACAAACTGCCGAATGGCGTCGGAATCGTGGGCCGAATATCCTACGTAACGAACTTTTATGACTTTATAGGATGAAATAGATTAATCCCGCTTACGTTAGTTCGCTATTGACGAAAGTCGTGTCTCTCTAAGTCTCCGACTAGAAGCCAGTTCATTTAAGAGTAAATTGAATGGATGCTCAGCCACTCCTTTGCCCCAATTTATCCAGACAAAATGCGGGGGAGTTCCGTTCCTTCATCCCCTGAAGAACTCCACTTCTGGAGAAAGGGATGTTTATTGGATCACGCTTCCTCGTTTGACGTGCTGAAGCTGAATAGTGGAAGTCGGCATTTGCTGTTTGTACCAGGTCCTCTTACAATGTTGATCATGGTTCGCTTTCGCGGTTGAGGTCTCCTCGTTAACTCAGACGTTCGTGTCAGTCTCTCATTAGCATGGGTATCAAAACATCGATTGTCGCACTTGAAGTGACCCCTGAAACACCCTAAATTCCTTGTCAACAACACTAACTTGTCTGGTCACTCTGCTGTAGAAGATAGATTAATCACACTCCCTACACAATCTTCACTGACCCACCTTCCCACTCACTGCAAACTAACATTCGTCAGCAGTCTCTTCTGCAAGCCATTGTGTTTATTTTCCGGCTAAAAGCTATCATTGCTTGATTTGTTTAGAGACTATTGGACAAATAGGGGGCTTCACTGTTTCTTGGCCGAACTCGAGCCGGTCATGCTGCCCCAAAGCGATGAAGTTGGTGTGGTCAATGCCTTCCTGCACCAATCTGCCACGGTGCCTCGCCCCGAACAGGCCACACGGCCCTCACATTATCCTTGACCTGAAGAATATATCAAGGAAATTATGCCGGCCGTCGAGCGTCGACGACATTAGCGCCGGCTGAAGTGATCTGGATCAATCTGGACTACGGAGTATTGAGAACCATGTCTTTCTAGCCTGGTCCTTGGTCCTAGAATCATAATAGGCTTCGTTCGTATAAGAACGGGCATCCAGACCTGCGCAATGGAATTGTTTTGCGATTGAATAGACTAGATAACTATCCTTCTTGAACTCGTATCTCAAAGTACTTTCCACGATGGTTCATTTATCTTCAATCGCAGCGGCCCTGGCTGCTCTGCCTCTGTATGACTCCCACTCGTCATGAGAAGAAACAGCTCTGACATCGCTTTAGTGTATATGGAGCTGGCCTGAACACAGCAGCCAAAGCCAAAGGACTAAAGTACTTCGGCTCCGCTACTGACAACCCAGAGCTCACGGACACTGCGTACGTCGCTCAACTGAGCAACACCGACGACTTCGGCCAAATCACGCCGGGAAACTCCATGAAGGTTTGTTTGCATCTTTTCCCTGGAGCAATTGCGTCAGAGGCTAATTGCTTTCTTTGACGGACAGTGGGATGCCACCGAGCCTTCTCAGAATTCTTTCTCGTTCACAAATGGAGACGCCATTGTCAATCTGGCGAACAAGAATGGCCAGATCATGCGATGCCATAATCTGGTCTGGCACAGTCAGCTCCCGAGCTGGGGTAAGCGGATGTCTCGTTCATTCTCAAATTCTCTCTAACGGTTGACAGTCTCTAGCGGATCGTGGACCAATGCAACCCTTTTGGCCGCCATGAAGAACCATATCACTAACGTGGTCACTCACTACAAGGGGAAGTGCTATGCATGGGATGTTGTCAATGAAGGTCGGTTGCTCCATCTATCCTTTAACAGGACTCCTGAAACTGATCAAGCCTGGCAATCTAGCCCTGAACGAGGACGGTACCTTCCGTAACTCCATCTTCTACCAGACAATCGGTGAAGCATACATTCCCATTGCATTCGCGACTGCTGCGGCAGCAGATCCCAACGTGAAACTCTACTACAACGACTACAACATTGAATACTCCGGCGCTAAAGCGACTGCTGCGCAGAATATCGTCAAGATGATCAAGGCCTACGGAGCGAAGATTGATGGCGTTGGTCTCCAGGCACACTTCATTGTCGGCAGCACTCCGAGTCAATCGGATCTGACAACCGTCTTGAAGGGCTACACTGCTCTCGGCGTCGAGGTCGCCTATACCGAACTTGACATCCGCATGCAGCTGCCCTCGACCGATGCAAAGCTGGCCCAGCAGTCTACTGACTTCCAGGGCGTGGCCGCAGCATGCGTTAGCACCGCCGGCTGTGTGGGAGTCACCATCTGGGACTGGACCGACAAGTATTCCTGGGTTCCCAGCGTGTTCTCAGGCTACGGCGCCGCATTGCCTTGGGATGAGAACTATGTTAAGAAGCCAGCATACAATGGCCTGATGACGGGCCTAGGAGCAAGCGGCTCCGCAACGACCACTACCTTGACCACCACCACGCAAACCACGACTACAACAGGTGCAAGCTCTACTGGAGTCGCTCAGAAATGGGGACAGTGCGGTGGTATCGGCTGGAACGGTCCAACAACTTGTGTCAGTGGAACCACTTGCCAAAAGCAGAATGACTATTACTCACAGTGCCTGTAAATGGATCACTGTCCTAGCAGATCCATTTCTTTGCTTTTTTTCTCTTCTTGTAACTAGTTGAAATAAGCCCAGCACTTGCAAAATGAATTCATTTGGACATCTACTTTAATTTTGATTAGCTTCCCTGCTGAAAGTCAACCAGGCTTGTTCATGAAACATTCATACCTCTTATATACAACTTTTGCAAACGAAAAAGGTTATCTATGAAAGTATCTCAATTGGTGGACTTTGCTTCGAGCATCTTAGAGCGGGGCTCAAAGGCAGCTTTAGATACCTCTTCTGGAAAGTCAGGCGCACGGCCAGCGAGGAAGGTGTCGTCTTCTGTCACCTCCCTTCCAAACCAAAACTCTTCTTTTCCTTCTCCTCTACCTCCTTCAAAATGTTTTCAGCCGCTCGAACCAATTCTTAAGATTTGACTATTTTCAACCACTATTAAATTCTCTATATGAGGTACAATGATGAACGAGAATATGCGCTTTGACTTGTATCAAGTCGCCCGCCTAATGATCCTTAAGAACCGGCACCAAGCTCTATGTGCAGCAACCTAAGTCCAACCAGCAATCCTCCCAAAGAMAACTTCGAAGGCAGCTTCATCAGCCTCCCAATAATCGGACGTCAAAAGTCAAAGTAATACGGGTTCGGACAACTCTCCGTACCATGGCCAGCAACGCCCATGTCGGGCCCATGCTGATCTTGCTGCCCATGGCTGACATTCGGTTCATGATAAAATCGCAGAGGAAAGGCGTGAAAGTTCAACGGGACAGGTGGAGGAGCATGGTGGAAGGCATGAACCGCTGGAATGCTTGCAGAGAACGGATGTTCCCCTTCGTGAACCCCTTCCGGTAACTTGGGAGTTGGTAATGCTGCGGAGGCATAGGAATCCGGGTTGGCGTGCATGATCCCATGAACGCCCTTCTCGCTTGCTGTATCGGTATGACTGGTGAAAAAGGCTCCTGTTGACGGAAAGACCGATGTGTGGGACTCCATGCCATAACCGTCGCTCTTGTAAACTGGGTTCACGTCTGCGTTCACCACTTCTGCCATGGGAGAACCAGCATGCCTCAGAACTATTTCATCCGGCAAGTGTGCCCGAGAGATATACACAACTGCTTGTTCATCTGTCAAGAGATGAGCGTGCCTCTTTCTATGTTGATATAAACGTCAAGTACTACGTACCGAGATGGTCGTCCAGGTAATTCTCCTCTTCTTCTCGGACGCGATAGATCTCATCCAGGACCTCCAGACGGTCCGGGGGTGAAATCTGACGGCGGATGGATTGATCGGCCTCTCTAAGCTTCGCGACGGTGATGCCACGGCATTCGCGGAGCTCGCAGAGAATGTGTACAAGCAATCGAACTCTCTCTGGTACGATCAGCTCCTGAAAACTGACAAAGGCTTCGTTATATCTTACCCGCTTTGGGAAGATGGTCGGGCTCTTTATGTGTGACACCATGTGGCCACCAGGCTGGCTTTGTCATCTCTGGATCGAGCTGTTGAGAGATACCAGCGATAAGCTTTCGCCCGTTATAAGGATAATTGACTTGCTTTCGGGGCTCGACAAGTTTGACATATGCTTTAGCGATAGTTCGACAGTTGATTTGCTGCAGGCTTTCGAACGCTTTTCGATAGTATTTTCGCAGAAGCCTTCTGTCTCGGAGCGGCAACATTGCTTTCTGATGGCAAGTGATGTTCAGTGGCACCACGCATTCTTGAAACACTTTCCTCCTTTTTGCCTGATCGCCCTGATCAGTATGTATCTGCCCAGCTGTGCCTCTTTGCTCCGACGCCTCTATATTGTCCTGTTCCGTCACGTCATTGGCCTCTCCTTTCCCAAGCGACTGTGGCGACAGCGGGCTTCTTCCTCTGGCCGAAGGTGATTCGTGGGTGGAGTCTAGCCCTCAGTCGTCAGTCGATTTCTGTTGTGAGAATCTGAAGGTCTTACTTGGGCAGGGAAACAAGCTATCTTTGTTTGATATTGTCACTGCTTCCAGAAAGTTCTCCATAACGATGGGAGACAGGATGGTCTGGCAGCTATGCGCAATTGAAGGGGAAGTTTGCACCCGAACTTCGCCATTGCCATCAATATAAATGATGGCATAATGGCCATACGTGAGGCTCCCGAGCTGGACATCCGTTGACCCTGGCGTCTGCACCAGCTTGAATCAGCTTTTTAATCAAGAAACTAGCTTCTTGGATGTTCGGTATTTGTACCAGCTGTTGCAAATAATCGAATTTGTCACCAGTCGAGGATGGTGACTTCGAGTCCTCTAACATGAGAACGCTAGTCAACGCTCCAGGTTTCCCTATGCCAATAAGGTGCGAGAGAGCAGGTGGTACCTACTTTCCGAAGACATGTCTTATTAAGCAACAAGAAAACCGGGCACAGAAGAGATCGTAGCAACGAGAAGATCCTCGAACTGGAGTCCACAAGGTTTATCTGGGCCTCGAAATTGTCGCGTGATGCTCCACCGTGCTTTATACGCGCGAAACAACTCTGTTTAGAGAGCGCCTGTCAACAACCTACGGAAAAAGCAACCTGCACTCTCAGACCAAACCCGTAATCAATGCATTCATGAGTCTACCCTGGCCAAGACTGCCTCATTGCCATGCATACATCTATGCGGCACAGCGGTGCGCAGGAGCGCCCCCCTCAGCTGCATTGGGCTTACGAACTAACGCTCTTCTGCGTCTGACGATCTCCAGAGGCCAACTGACTAGACACTAGATAGCGAACCTCGCAGGAGTACAATCACGTATTGATCAAGCCGACTTCACCTTCTTAGAGTAAGTACGACTCGTTGGAGATCAATAGTTCCATCGATGACTCTCACAACATTGGTAATTATAAATCTGCCCTCGCCGGCCTGCATCACGCGAACACGGAGATCAAGCGTTCGACTTGCAGAAGACGCGGCTGATCTGCTATAATAGTGGACTTCCCAATACGGCCATGTCCAATCCATGATATCCAATCATAGGTGTGAATTGGCGAGCAGCTTCTTTTCCAATGGGGCAAAGATAGGTGTATCAACTATTGATCGACAGCAAAATTAATGGCGGAACTACTCACCTGTGATGGTTCCGGAGTCATATACCCTGTCCTCCACGGTCCAATCTTCGAGCTACTTCTATATTAAAGGCTGTGTTATCCCGGGACCATGGATTAATGCTCCTTGCATGAGCCGCTCGTATCCGCTGTTAACGCGTAATATGGCGCTGAAGGATTCAAAAAGTTAGGGCGCTACGTGGCCCATGTTAACAAAAACAGTACTTCAGATGGAAGCAAGACTTTGCAGTCGAGATGCCCTGATGCTGTAACTTTATCCGGTGAGTACACCTCTCCCATCACATGGACTCATATGCTTCTTATCTGAAGGGCCGAGTCAATATCGCTTTAATTGACATGCCGCAGCAGCAATCTGTCAATGAGCTGGCTTAGACTTACATATGTTGAGAAACGGAGACCATCGATGGCAAGCCTTTCCATCGGCCCAGCCCGCCTGCGGCGACTTCTCGAATGACAGATCAATAAAACCGACCAGACAAGGGTATTGTTACCTGATTTAGACACTTGGAAGTCGGAAATCAAGGCGAGGAAATGGAAACAGGAGACAGGAGAGACCTTGGTGTGTTTTGTCAAGCTCTTAATGGCTATGTGCCATCCTTGGGGAATGATGTATTGATGATTGATGACGCATGAAAGATATGATCCATCATATATCAGCTGTCACTGTCAGTGTAGCCGAGGACCCACCACGGCGGATCGGGCGCAGGCCTGTGGATGATGAAGTTCTGGAAAGTTTTCAGCATCAATAGAGCCTTCGCTTATTCCAACCAGTCTCGGAGAGGTAAGGGAAGAATCTTTGCAATGGACTTGAAGTGATAGGTACTTATTAGATACTTTGGGCCCGTTCATCTACATTATAGCATAATGTTGCATCCTCGATAGGTGCAGTCGATGATTGACCTGAGATGTCTCAGTTTGACTCTTTTAGGTAAGCCGTGACGATGTAGCCATGTCCTTTGTAAAAAATACAGAGCAAATCTCTGGTATTCTGTATTTTACCCGTCTGAGAATTCTATCGCAATCTCTTTCTTTCATCCTTCTATCGTCCAGTTCGATATATCAGAGAGTATCTATGCTTTTCTGAGTCCAAGGCATCACGGGCGTTGTCCTCACACTCCAGTTGCAGTACCAGTTTGTCAAGATTCCACTGTGTACTCCGTCTTAGCAACCACTCTGACTTCGGCGGACAAATAAATCCCGTTCCGAAGCCAAGTGATCGATGAATCGACTTGTCCCAGCAAAAGAAGATGCCCCGGAGTCGATCCTGTCTATTAGCCACATGAACCCAAGTGTCCCACCCCTTAAACCTGGTCTATTCCGACTCCTGAAAACACCTTTTTCTTTGAGCCAATCATCGTTGTGCTTGGCCTTTTTCCTTTGTCCTCTGACTCCGTACACTAACGACTCATCCCTGGATTCCCCGGCGAGTCAGACAACTGTCTACGGGGCGTACCTTAGCTAAGCTGGTCTTTCTTCTTCGCATACTATTCTGGCGCTCTAACTGGGGCCCTGCCTATCGTCCGTGCGGTGTCTTATTTCAAGTCTTTTTTTGCGCATCCCCCTTCGTCCAGCGATTAATATAGGTCAAGCGGGAAGAAAGACCGCCGAGCGTAACACTGGGGGCAAATTTTCTCCAGGAGTCAAATCACTAAGGTACTACGTTCGGAACAGACCACTGCGAATAAGGAAAAATGGATCCCAACGCTGCCGGTTATCCTGCTCTGCAGCAGCACCAGCAACACAACGCGGGCTATCCTGTCACCACACAGAGTCCACACGGACAGCAGTTCCCTTTCTATCCGAATGCTATGCCCACCTCCTCCTCATTTCCCCAATCCAAGACGCCGGTGCAACAACCGCATCAGCAGCATTCTTTCGGTCCCGTGCCTCTGCAATCTGGCGGTCCCGGTGGAGCTATGATGCCGTCTGGTTTTCCTCAGCAGCCGTCTGGTACGTTGACTTGCGATCTCCATCATTGTTTTCTAGTTTATCTTTTCTTTTTCTGTTTTTCCTTTTCGCGTCTCCCAGCCATTCACCGGCCCTCCTTCCTCTGCGTCGGGTGCATTGTCCCCTTGGCTGCTCCGTCGGTCGTCTTGTCGATCGAGTACTTGCACTTGCTATCTTAAGCTTGTTTTGCTTCTGAGCGAACTTGATTTGGCTGTCTTCTTCAGTCCAAATGCCTGGTGGATGCCATGAATTTCCTGTCCTACCTGTGCGGGCCATTACCCCAACATCGTTCCTGAACTCCTTCCCTGCCCCGTTTCCATATCCAAATAGTATCTCCGGAGTACCCAGTCGCACTGCTTCTTCGGACGGACGTCCTGGATGATTTAGACTCTTGGACAAGCCGCTAACGTGATGTGCAATTTCCCGCTTTGCAGGACCCCACGGCAATTTCTCTGCTGCCTTCACCCAACCTCCTGTTCCAGCGACTCTTAGCCAGTTTGTGCCGCATCAGGGCAGCCCAACTTCGAACATGTCCCCGAGTGCGGCGCAAAACTTTACCCAGAACATGGCTTCGGTCTCTGCGAATAGCATGCTTCCAGCACAGCAGCAACAACAGCAACAGCAACAGCAACAGCAACAACGCCCTGTCCAGCAGCCAAATCAACAGCAAGGATCCGTTCCGCCAGCAGGGCAGAGTCCGGCTGCGGCAGCGCGAGAGAAGGCTCGTGTCTCAACCCTTTTGGACATCAACTCCATCTTGTTGCAAGAGGTCATCAATCTGCAGGCGGCTGGTAAGGCTGGCGGGCCTCCCAATCAACAAGCATCGCAAGATAACAATCCATCACCAACTTCCGACCAGGCGACCGACGCGGCCAAGGGTCCGGCGCAAAAGCCCAGTCTCGAGTATGTTGAGTGTATGCGCCGTCTCCAGGCCAATTTGGCATATCTGGCGACTATTGCCGATCGGGCGAAGAAAACTGGTGGTGTGGCTCCCACCGCCCCGGCCATCATGACGCCGCCTCCCAACATGCCAGCGGCAAACGAGCTCTACAACAAGTTGAATGAGCTGTTCCGGCCGTCGAAAGGTGCCGTGGGTACTCCCCAGCCTAGCCCGCAAGGTACGCCTGGCAATAGCAAACCGAGCCCATCGCCCGCGACCGAGTCGGCGGTTTGAGGATGGGCGCTTATAAGGTTCATTCGCACCTGAGATCAGATTTGGATAGCAATCGGCCAGCACACGAAAGGCAACAGAAAAAGTCAACGGCCCTCCTGTGCGGTTATTGGCTTTCATCCGCTCGGCGCTACGCTGATTACAGACCTGGGGTAGCCATGAGCGGTCATTGCTGGGCGGTGATCGCGCTTTTCCGCAGAAATGGTGCGCCAGGCGACACTGGATAACACTGCGAACATGCGATCCAGTTCCAGGCTTTCGGTGATAGACGACAGACTACGGATAATCACTTGACCGTTTATTAACTGGGAGGACAGAACTCGAGCAATCTCTCCGTAACCATCATCAGCTCTTCCATTCTCTCGATCTCCACCAAGAGGCAGTACAAGGGGTCTCTTTCATCTAGCCTTCTTTATCTACAACAAGACGTCGCCAGCCGCGATACGCTCTGGACCTGTGTTCAACAATACCAGCGCGGTGGACAGATACTTGAGGATCAATACGATGCTATCGACACGTCTCCTCCCCGCCCTGTGGACTTGGGAGCGGAAAATGTGGAACTGATGTAGTGTCCCTGCGTATTGTAGGTGGTTTTGTGAGGACAAGGAGATGTCGTATATCCACTTGGCTTGTATCTACTTGTATACTAGGATGTGATGTATATTACAGAGCTCCACGAAGAGGAGGCGTCTTGGGGTCTGTTCCCGATGTGACGTTGCCATGACAGTAATCGTGGGATTTGTGCTGTTTCACATGTAGACGACCAGGGTAGAACAACAGTTCAATTCGGGCGACGATCCGCTTTGATTGCAATTTGTCTCGGTCGGTCTCTCTTGGAGATCTACCTTGACCTATATTTGCAGTAGAAATGGTCAGAAGACAGGACTACTATGACTGCGCATCATCACTTGATCCCCCTTCCAGCCACTGTCGGGCCAGGGCCTGGCCCAATCAGTGGCCTGCGCTGCGGCTGTCCGCCTGCAGAAAAAAAGAACCTTGGGAAGCTCTGGAGTTTGAGTGCCTGACTTTCTCTCCCTACTAACCCTTCGTCTCACCCTCCTCTTTCATTATTTTGCTTCCCCTCTTCTGTTCCCAATAGCTGACTTGGAGGGGGTGTCTTGTGAATGTCTTGCGCCTTGCTCCCTTTGTACAGAAGGAGCCCGCCGGTCGCTACTACTATCGCTGATCTTACTGCTACTTCCGCCTCCGCACCGCCCCCGTCGCAATACACCTCTACGCCTCGAATTTCCACACAGTCTGTTCGGTTCTCCTGGACTAGTTCACGATCGCCTAGTGTCTACGGTGTTACTCCTGAATCGCCACACAAGCAGTTTAGTCGTCTACTGCCGCATCGACATCGGTTTCTTTCGCGGTGGACTAGCGTCGCAACACCTGTCATACGCAGCAATCTCGGGACAAACAACCGATTGCTTTCCTCCCTCGCGCCCTTCACTCGCTCCCGTGTGTCCCTACCTCAGTCTCGGAAGAGCATGGATCTGAATGGCGAGACCAGCTCAAAGCGCAAGCGCAGCTCCGCCGCCGCCCCCGCAGAGCGTCCGGCCAAACACCTGAAACCTGAGAGCTCGATATTAACGCCCGGGGACGCGACTCCTGCGAACGGGACCGTCTACGATGTTGAGGATGAGGAGGATACAGGCCGGGTGATGCCTATCGGCCCCGCGCAGGCGGATTCGCCCGAGTGGCAAGCTACCATCGAGAAGGTGGTTAAGAGCGTGGTATCGATCCATTTCTGCCAGACTTGCTCTTTTGATACGGACTTGTCGATGAGTAGTCAGGCGACGGGATTTGTGGTCGATGCTGAACGCGGGTATATCCTGACGAATCGCCATGTGGTTGGCGCGGGTCCGTTCTGGGGTTATTGTATATTTGATAATCATGAGGAGGTGAGTTGGAGTGATGTCTGGGCTTGAAGACACGGGCATGGTTGCAGTGCTGACATTAGGGTTTTTCCAGTGCGACGTGCGTCCTGTTTATCGAGATCCCGTGCACGACTTTGGTATTCTGAAATTTGACCCTAAAGCGATTCGATACATGGAATTGACTGAGCTCAAGCTTCGACCGGAAGCGGCCCGTGTTGGGTGTGAGATTCGAGTCGTTGGTAACGATGCTGGTGAGAAGCTGAGCATTCTGTCTGGTGTCATCAGTCGGCTCGACAGAAACGCGCCAGAGTATGGTGATGGTTACTGTGATTTTAATACGAACTACATCCAGGCCGCGGCTGCCGCCAGCGGTGGCAGTTCCGGCAGTCCTGTCGTCAATATCGACGGTCATGCAATTGCTTTACAGGCTGGAGGTCGTGCGGATGGTGCGGCCACGGACTATTTCCTCCCCTTAGACCGCCCCCTTCGTGCGTTGGAGTGTATCCGACGCGGTGAGCCTGTCGCCCGAGGTACGATTCAGACACAGTGGATCCTCAAACCTTTCGATGAATGTCGTCGCTTGGGATTGACTCCGGAGTGGGAGGCTGCTGTTCGCAAAGCCTCACCGCATGAGACCAGTATGTTGGTGGCTGAGATCATATTACCCGAAGGGCCTGCAGATGGAAAGCTCGAAGAAGGAGATGTCCTGCTGCAGGTCAACGGGGAGCTCCTCACGCAGTTCATCCGATTGGACGATATCCTTGATTCAAGCGTCGGGAAGACCGTGCGTTTGCTGGTTCAGAGAGGCGGTCAGAATGTCGAGGTGGAATGTGAGGTTGGCGATCTGCATGCCATCACGCCGGACCGCTTTGTCACGGTGGCCGGTGGCACTTTTCACAATCTGTCCTATCAGCAGGCCCGGCTTTATGCCATCGCCGCTCGGGGAGTGTATGTGTGCGAAGCAGCAGGCTCTTTCAAGTTGGAGAATACCTTGTCGGGATGGATTATTGATGCTGTGGACAAACGCCCGACCCGAAATCTAGACGAGTTCATTGAAGTAATGAAGACGATCCCGGATCGGGCTCGGGTGGTCATCTCGTACCGTCATATCCGAGACCTTCACACCCGGGGTACCAGCATCGTGTACATAGACCGCCACTGGCATCCCAAGATGCGAATGGCCATTCGTAACGACGAGACGGGTCTCTGGGACTTTTCTGATCTTGCCGATCCCGTGCCAGCTGAAACTCCGGTTCCGAGGAAAGCTGATTTTATTCAACTCGACGGAATCAGCCAGGCTGCGGTTTCGGATATCGTCCGCAGCTTTGTACGTGTCTCCTGCACCATGCCCTTGAAGCTCGACGGGTACCCGCAAGCCAAGAAAACCGGTTTCGGACTGGTGATCGATGCCGAAAAGGGCCTGGTTGTGGTGTCTAGAGCCATCGTTCCGTATAACCTATGTGACATCAACATCACTGTGGCCGATTCGATCATTGTCGCGGCCAAGGTTATCTTCTTGCATCCTCTACAGAACTATACCATCATCCAATACGACCCCAGTCTTGTGGAGGCTCCTGTTCAGAGCGCCAAGCTGAGCACCGAGTACATCAAGCAGGGCCAGGAGACCATCTTCGTGGGCTTCAATCAGAACTTCCGCATCGTGGTCGCCAAGACAGCTGTCACCGACATCACCACCGTCTCGATTCCTGCGAATGCCTCGGCGCCGCGCTACCGTGCGATCAACCTGGATGCCATCACAGTTGACACAGGCCTGAGTGGGCAGTGCACGAACGGTGTGCTGATTGGGGAAGATGGAGTCGTCCAGGCTTTGTGGCTCAATTATCTGGGAGAGCGCACCCCGAGCTCTCACAAGGATGTGGAATATCATCTCGGTTTCGCCACGCCCGGGCTCCTGCCTGTTACATCCAAGATCCAGCAGGGGATCATTCCGAAGCTGCGGATCCTCAACATGGAGAGCTATGTGGTTCAGATGAGTCAGGCTCGCATCATGGGTGTCTCGGAGGATTGGATTCAGAAGGTAGCCCAGGCGAATCCATCGCGGCATCAACTCTTCATGGTGCGCAAAGTCGACTGTCCTCCGCCGCAGTTTACGTCCACTGCGGATGCGTTACAGGAAGGGGACATCATCTTGACCTTGGACGGTCAACTCTTTACTCGCGTCTCTGAGTTGGACAAAATGTATGAGAAGGAGGTTCTTGACGCTCTTATCGTGCGCAACGGGCAGGAAATGCATATCAAGCTACCGACGGTACCTACTGAGGACCTGGAGACCGACCGTGCCGTTGTGTTCTGCGGTGCCGTGCTGCAGAAGCCACACCACGCCGTACGGCAGCAAATTTCCAAGCTGCACAGCGAGGTGTATGTCAGTGCAAGGGTATGTTCAACGTTGCACCTTAATGTAGTCGTGGCACTAACTTTCTGCAGAGTCGCGGTTCCCCAGCTTATCAGTATGGCCTCGCACCAACGAATTTCATCACCGCCGTAAATGGCGTTCCGACGCCGAACCTTGACAGCTTCGTCACGGAGGTCAGCAAAATTCCAGACAATACATACTTCCGGTTGCGTGCCGTGACCTTTGACAACGTGCCATGGGTTGTAACGATGAAGAAGAACGATCATTACGTAGGTTACCTCTCTCCCTCTTTTGGACATTAACTGACTCCGGTGACAGTTCCCCATGTCCGAATACATCAAAGACCCGTCTCAGCCACTTGGGTGGCGCACGGTATCCCATGACAGAGACAGGCACAAGGATGGTATCACCCCCGACGCAGCCAATCTCAACCCGGACGCCATGGACGAGGTGTACGAGGAGATCAGTGACGTTGAACCAGAGGTCGATTGAGGTGGTCTGGACAGGCTTGTAACTATCAATGCATAGTAGGATTGAGTCCTACTGAACACAATGTATGTATGTGTAGATGGGGTCTCGGCCCTTGTATACTTCCTGCAGATATCATGATACAAATACCAATACCAAACGGACGCACGTTGGATATAGACGTCTCATCTGGGGACTTACTTTAGTTTGGGATTCTCGATACCCTTAAGGCAAGTCTTAGCTGTGGTCTCTGTTAACTATCCACTTATCCAAGGCCTAGAGGCATTCACAGAACAGATCTGAAAGTAGGAAATTCACTAGCAAAATTAGAGGCAGCCAATGAACAGTGAATATTCTACCTTTACCACTATCATGCTCAATCCATTGACTTAATGGGCTCCTCACTCACTTTCTGTGAGACATCATCACTTCTCCAACTACTCGTTGACCACTAATAACTGCAGCATTGGAATACCAGTTACAGCTTTTACTCCCTCTAAAGGTTCTTCTTGAAGGTGAAGAATGGCATCCTTGCGGTCAACGGACCCGGATGGCTTGAATATACCAACATGGAGCTCGCTATTGGCAGTCAGGTCGCGCTAATTCTTGATTATGATAAAGAGGTTGAAGAGGAATCTGTCTAACATAATTTCAACTGTGTTAGTAGAGAATTTCGCGTCGAAATGCCCAACGAAGTCCACAATTGTCCAAATGCCTGGCTTCATAACGAGATCGCCCGGGCATATCGCTATGGGTTCTTGAGTGATCAAGAACATGACGGACTACACAAGTATATTACGTCCTCTTTAACTTCTCGCATGTCTAACCAAGTGTAGGATTTGATTCATTTGCACCCCTATACAACTCTTTCCAAAGAACTACCCCGTCGGCCTCTACCGCAACGCAGAATACACCGACACGGTCCATTCCCGGAGCACCCTCGCCTTCCTCATCATCTTGAGTATCAGACTTGCTAATACAATAATAGCTATCATGTCTCAGTGCCTGGGCTGCGGTGCCCCTTTGCCCGAGAATGTGCAAGTCATTGAAATTGCGTTTCATGACACGACTACCGACCCGAACCTTAATCATGATCCCTTCTGGGTGGAGGCTTTCTACCACACTGGCATGACCTACCACTGCGGTGGGTGGCGACCCCCACGTTAATGTGGTCTTTCTTGTCAAATGCTCCTTGTTGACTCAATCTCGGATCAAAGGCCGGGTTGAGGTCTGGAGGAGAAAATCAGCCAGCGCCTCTTAGCTTCGTAAGGATTTTCCCCTCAATTCTTGTGATCATCAAATAACAGTATCATTGCAGGAGAATTTCCCCCGCTCTCCTACGGGCAGTCCTCCTCAGGAGATTCCCATCAGCACAGGGGAGCTATTTGGCAGCTACGAGTTACGAGTTCGGTAGCGAAGGCCGGTGTTGTCAGCAATGGGATCTGGGATCTGGGGTTCCCAGCATACTACAGAGTACACGATGTCCCAGATATCGTAGCTTGAAGCCAAGACCGGGATGTGATGTGATATCTCTGGCGTCGATTCGCCTCGACTGGGGATATCGGGACCATACGAGATTGTGAGTGCTAGAGACTTTCATGGTGGTTCGTCAGTTGGACAAGAATACGGTAACTGGTAAATCGTGACCATTGCTGAGGTTGATTTTGGACTCTAATATTGTGGTATCTAGTTATTGAGTGGACATGTCGAGCCATCTCCTCATTTTGGGAGCGGACGTGCATGGGATGTTGGCACTGGCAATGACTGTCTGTCCTGGGTCTGTTGATACAGCCACCTTCTAACCAGGATGAATTCCTGATATGAATCTGCCAACAGGTGGCAGGGCCAACTACTAACCAGCCGCGTGTCGTGGAGATGCCGGCGATGGAGTAGAGCCTGTGCCATTTCGGTACCCGCAATATGCCACGCTCTGCGTTTCGACTCCTGTCCATAGAGTTATCACGTACACCTGGAGAAACCATACCTACGATTCTGACAGATCCTATAACGCAAGCCGCCACTTCAACGGATGAGGTTCGTCTTGATTTTGATATGTTCGGTGGCAACGCGCTACACTGAACGCCGTGCCTAGACGCCAATGGCAACACCAGGGACATCCTTCGCGAGACATTTAATACTTCCCGCCAGATGGTAGACTTAGCCTTGCCGACATACCATTCGGCCTGACACACAGCAAGTTACACCAACTTGCACGGAGCATACAAATGAATCTTCCGGTGGCAACACGGCACAGATTACTCCTTTATCCTGTCATGGACGCAGCCAAGACTGAAGTAAAGTATAGATCGTACCGTTTGGGGGCGTGTGATTGGCTATGCTTGGCTATGCCAGCCKCGGGGACGATACTGATTTCATCCACATGCTTAGGAGAATACACCCACCGATGTTGGAGTTTCTACTCAGGGGATCTCCAAAGCTCAGATCAATGATCAGTATCTTACGGGATCAGGTCCTTGTTCACCATGAAAAGGCAATCATATGGACGATGTTTCCCGCAGAAGAAGTGTTTATTGGGGCGGCCCTAGTGGAGGCTAATATTGATGCGAAAGTCTTCCATGCCTCACTTGGCTTTGCAGAGCGTGCTTCACTGATCCATGAGTTCACAACAGAGCGGGACAAGTGCATGGTCTTGGTTTGTTCATATTCTGTTAACGCTGCAGGTTTAAACCTGCAACAGCTGTGTCGGAACGTGCATCTCTTTTCTGAGGGAACGTCAAAAAGTGTTGTTAATCAACCATCGGTCGCGTCTGCCGGCTTGGTCAGCAAAAGGTGGTTCTCGTCTATGACTACCAGGTGGAAAAGTCGTTTGACATGACCCTTGTTCTAAGGGATAAGATAAAAGCGATCCCTGCCCTGGTGGCGCAGATGAGGGGACCATCTCTAAAAAATGGGCGGACCTCGAAGCATCCGCACTGCGGTTGCATTCAATCATACATAGAGGCATGTGATAACATAGTAATAGGCAAAAACCACATACTACGGACAAGCCCGACGGCAAAAGCAAGATCCCATTCACGCGAACTTTCTTATAACATCGAAAGATGGATGAAAGATTACGTCGGTACATTACTATCCGGTCCCCATTGGGGGGGGAAACGTATAGTTTTCGAAAGCGAAGTATAACGCAGGAAAGAGGTCATGGACTACTTCCCAAAGCCAGGGAATCCGGCAATGGATCTGGTGGGGAAGCTTCATGCAGCGAAGAGTGGACCTTGTCTCTGCCAGTCTGTCTCTGTCAGTCACACGTCTGGGGCACTAAGGCACAGCTGTCACTTCCTGCTATTTGCCTTAGGAACCAAGCGAGGCGTCTCTTTGTTGAAAAGCGTGCAACTCCCAAGACCTTCAAGGTCCCTGGATGAGTACCATTGAGGACACTGCTCACTGGGACTTTGGCTCAAATGCCAGAATCTGCTCAGGCCATGAAGTACTGCTTGAACAGATGACGCTGTCAATCAACCCCTTCCAAGCGTCAGGACGCTGCAGCAGATCTATTGGCCTACGGAGTTGGAAGTGTCGGGAGGTTTGGGCCAAGAGACAGGGATCGTGCACTATACTTCCCTGCCTGCAATGATGATGATGACCTCCTCGAGTTCCCGGTCAAGGTCGTCGCTCGGTTCCAGACTCATGAAGTAGAAGCCTTGAAAGTGGTCCTTGAAGGCTGCGCTTGCACAGACTGGGTCAAGCGTGTCACCATCTCCGACGATCTAGGACATTATGCGAGGAAGACGTCCAAGATCAGGATGAAGAAAGTGGCTGTATAGTCAAATATGATGGCGTCCTAACGCAGAGGATCAGCAGCCATGATGAGACACGAAAGGTCTATGACTCCGATCAAGAAGATGACAGTGAAGACATTGATACCGGAGCACTGGCTCTCGTTGAGATTGAAGAGACGGACGACAGCCCACTCACCATATCCATCTAAAGACCAGGACGTCGATTGACGATATTGGCAGAAAAGAGCCTCTGCCCTGCAATGGCAATAGATGCATTGTACTGGATAGAAAGCCCTGTTTTCCATACTCTGGGATCGTATGTGTCAGAATATGGACCTCAGAAATTATATTCGAATATCTTATAGCAAAGTCGCTTGATTTGTGCTTTTCTGGTAAAATGTAACGGCCTAAAACCATGAGCGCCTTTACCTTGATATTAGAGGTCTGACGGTACGGAAATCTGGATTTGAGACCATCTGCTGTTCTCTAGATCTCTAACTCTTTAGGGCTTCATGAAGAGTCTGTGGCGGGTACATATTTCACAGATGCTCCAGTGGGACCAACTAGATAGTGGACGATGATTCTCTCGACCCTTAAATAAACACTGCATCTCTTTAGCAATTTGGAGGGAGTAAATTGTACTATTTAGTCATAGGGTTATAGATTTGTCTAGCCATGCTCCATTTTTCTCCCTTTCCGTTTTCAGCTCTTCTCAGATCCATCTACCAATGTTTCAGCGGCCCAGTCTACTTTGGAACCAGGGATCCTTTTAGCATTGACGTTTGATCAAGGGAAACTAGTATATATTCAACATAGATCCACCTGGAGTTCCATATCTTAATTAATATGTAACTTTCTGTGATATACTGTTATTGCAAACTGGAATACATTGTGTTCAATGCTACCCAGTATGTCTACGCGTCCTCAGTCAAGACAATCAATGACTCTGAGGCGCCCAGCGCCTGCTGAGGAGCCTACAACACCTCTCATTCTCCTTTGTGACGGATCTTGGTGTGGTCGGGAGGCGAATACTAGGACCAATATTCTCGAACTCGCCGACAGAGTTAGGGTTGATCAGGATCCCCGTAGAGTCTTGTACCTTGAGGGTGTGGGTATTGGGAGTTCATTTTTAGAGTATGTATCCCTTTCCAGAGTTTCATGCATGGTTTGCATGCTCATGATTACTGTTTACAACATATAGTCACGTCTTTAATGGTGCCACTGCGCAGGACATTGCCCGTCAGTGCATTGAAGCTTATGAATTCCTCGTCAATAACTATACCTATCCAGACTGTGAAATCTGGATGTTCGGCCTCTCCCGAGGCGCCTACATGGTTAGAGCTGTTGCTGGCATGATCAACAACTGTGGAATCGTTAAGCCAGTAAAGAAGGCGGACGGGACTACTGATATACAGCAAACCCATATGCTTTGTGAAGTTGTATATCATATCTATCGTTCCCATTATCCCGTTAACAAACCGCACTCTCCTCAATCACAAATCTTCAGACAGACCAAGTCCTGGCCACTTATTGGTGACGAAGACCCAACCAAACCCGCGGCTCCAAGGTTCATTCCACCCATAAAATTCATGGGACTTTTTGACACTGTTGGCAGCCTGGGATTACCAGACTTTACCGGAGGTGTGGGCCTGGAATGGCCAGCCTTTTATGATCAAAATGTTTCCACTGCTGTCGAAAATGTGTATCATGCTGTATCACTCCATGACAGGATCTATGCACTCCAACCTTGCCTTGTTAGTCGAAATAAGGAGATTCACGGTCAGGGCTGGGAAAATCTTGGTGTTACAAAGCAGGAGTGGCTTCCAGGTATGCACTATGACCTTGGACGACAGAGGTTCAGATTTCTACGAGAGTTTGGGGGCGGCATGATGGAGAGAGTCCTTGCAAGATGGAAGTTCGCCAGTAAAATCATTGAGCCAAACCATGTGCTCGCAAACTTTGCCCTACGACGGATGCTGCTCGCTATTCGCGCTCACAACCCCCATCCGGGGGCTGCATATCATATCATACCAGATATTGACCAATATATTKAGGAGGTGACCAACAATATCATAACAAGAGCTCCAGAGCCTGGCCAAATCGGGAATGGTGATGGATCATTCATTCTAGGCATCTTGAGAGCGTTGAGAATAGCAAGAGCACCAGGGCCTGGCATTGGGGACGGTGATGTTTATGGCCACATTCTTGAGTATGCTCCTTTCGGATCAGTCATTCTGGACATCTTGAGAGCGTTGAGAGGCACCAGATGGAAAGTTTCTACCATCTATCAGCTTTTCTTTGACCTACGGGATCGGTTTATACCGGATCGCGATGCGACTGTCTACAATTTCCGCAGGCCCGACCCAGTTATCAGGGAAACCATTGGGACCCTTGGAGCGGTTTGTGAGCATCGGTATCCGTCAAAAGCGTACGAAAAATGGGAGTTGATGAGACTAGGTGTATTCTCACAGGAGTGAGGCTAAATACATATAGTATCACTGTAGGCGTTAATGGCCACTTAAACAACCCATTTATTTGTTCTCGAACCTCGTGGATTGTACATTGCTCTTCATTATTTTTCCTCACTATGCCTCTGCAATAATTGGGACGCTGTGGTACCTTTTTGCATTATATAGTAAAGTATTCAACTAAGATCATAACTAGCATCATTGGTCTAGTGGTAGAATTCGTCGTTGCCATCGACGAGGCCCGTGTTCGATTCACGGATGATGCATTCTTTTTTTGGACCATCTCTATGACATGTTTAATCATGTTCATACTCTCAATTGTTCTGTTTTATTGTATTGACTTTTTCCTTCTCTTTTTTCTTGCTCTTTTTTTTGTTCTTTCTCTGTTTGGTTTGCCCGTCTGCCCCATCTTGCAATCGTCTGAACGATGATGTGTTGTGTTGTGGACAGCAGATACAATATATATCTGAATCAAATGGACTGGGCAGAATATGGACTACAAAGTCTATCGTATTCGACAGGAAACCAATGCCTTCGACTACATTGAAATACTTAAACTCATCCATGATCGTGTAAATCTAAATGCTTGAATTATGTTCCCAATAATGCAACTACAAAGCTAATAACATATCAACGACCCCAAACGCCGCCAGGTATGCCAATCACCCAGTTTCTTCCAGAGTTCAGCTCTCGCTAGCAACGCAAACCCCAACATAAAGATTTAAGAAATACCCGACCAAGGTAAGAATGGGGCAGAAATCACGAGTTAAAGGTCCAGCCGCCGTTGAGCCTCAGTCGTTGACGCTCGGCGAGGTCACGCCGGATTTCCTCTTGGGTCAGTCCATCGGCGCCAGACCAGTTGGCGCTACTGGTACGCTCACGGAATTTCTTGATTTTCTTGTCCGCCTTGAATGTTTCCTCTAGTGAGAACGGAGCGATGGGACCAAAGATCGAGTCCGCCTCCAAGCCTTCCTGCTGGCGAAGGATGTTCTCGAGCTCCTTAGGCTGAGCCCACTTGGGCACGGGGAGCATCTCCGCATCCGAGTCCTCATCCTCACTATCAGTAGCAATCTCGGGAAGATGGATGTTCTCGCCGCTGGGATAGTTGGGAGATGGTTTTGCCGGTGCCCTTTGAGACGAGCTGGCGCCTGGAGTCTTATGCACAGGCAGTTGAGACGCGCCATTGCTTGGTTCTGCGAAGGGTATCTTGCCGCTTGCGTACTTTGCCATATCCATGGGGTGAGCTGGTCTCTGGGGCTGGGCGGTTTTGAAGATCGAAGAGCCTGGTTGATGCGTAGAAGTTTGTCCGTGGCCATACATGGGAGGTTTCATGGATTCCTGGAATACGAGATGAGCATACACGACCAGAGTGATTCGAGAATGGCGGGAGCCTACCTTGCGGATCCCAGACTGTCTGATGGGCGGGGCCATGGTGGGTCGAATGGCTGACATAGGGTTGTGTTCGTCTTCCGTCTTCCTGCGCTTAGATTCCCCGGAAGGTTGGACAGTATTAGACTTCATAGCTGCGGGACGGTAGCTGGCTTCCTCGTCCAGCCCTCTCTTTGGAGGTTTCGCCGGATTGGGCTGAGGCGGGTTGATCGTCCGACTGAAAGGTTGAATGGATCCAAGCCGTGACGCGGGTCTGGCAGCCTGTGAAAGAGGTCTCTCTGGCTGGACAATTGAAGCCTAAAGTACACGGAGCATCAGCATAGATCCAAAGCCGCGTCGCTAGATTCACTTACTCGTTCGCTCGTAGGTTGTTGACTGCCCTGCCTTTCCAATCTCCGTGCATTTTCCTGTCGCCGCTTCTCGATCGCCTGTATCTGGGCGGCCTTCTTCGCATCCTCAGCAGCAAGCCTTTCCCGGCGTTCGGCTTCTGCTCGGCTGCGCATTTCCTGGCGCCGCGCTTCTTCTTGCTGTTGAGCAGCTCGCTTGCGTTCCAACTCACGTCTCTGCTCCTCCCTGCGGCGCGCCTCTCTTTCTTCCTGCTCCCTTTTCCTCTCATTTGCAAGCTGAACCTTGCGCTGCGATTGGCTGGAGACTGAACTCTTGAAACTGCTATTTGAAGACGCGGTATGTAAAGAAGAATTGCTTGCCTTCTTCTTGAGAGTTGGCGGCTTGGAAGCTGAGGGTGGTGGTGCAGCGACAGATGCACTGGGTTCCGGACCGCTAGACGCCACGGAAGTGGATGCCAGGGGGATCTGGCGCGAAAGCGCGCTGCCGACACGAATAGAGACGGGCTGAGGCTTGGGTTTCTGGAGAACTTCGCGAGTGGGCTTGACAGGGCGCCGATCGTTCTGCTTTGGCTGCTGTTGGGAGACAGACATTCGGCTGGGTGCTCGAGAAACAGTTTCGTGGCTGGGTTCCGGCTCTCTGGATTGATGTCTCTGCAGCGGCTGTGCCTTCGTCGAGCTGGCTGGAGCGGCGGCTGCCGAAGGGGGAGCGTTACGTTCTTCTTCTTCCATCCGCGCCCTTTCCTGAGCGATCTTCAATTGAAGAGCTTTCTGGCGTTCCTCTACCCGTGCTTTCTCCGCCTGCTCCTCTTCCCGGCGACGATCTTCAAGCTCTTTTTGCTTGCGTTTTTCTTCCCTCTCAGTCGAGCTTCGCGTTCTGCGCCCTTCTTGTCGAGGGAGAGGACTAGATATCTGAACCGGCCGGCGATCTTGTGTTTCACGAGCAGTATTACCGCTTGCACGATTGTACGAATGCAACCCTAGTTCATCAGGCGAGGACGCTTCTAATCTTGCTGCGGCTGTCACACTGCCGGTGTTTGTAAACAGACCTTTAGCAGATCTCATGATAGATTGAAGTTTTAACTTGGATGCGCTCAGAGGGCCATCATGACGCTCAGCAGCCGGGGAGCCCACTGGTGTTGTGGAAGCGTGATGGCCCGTATTGGACACTGATGCACCCTTCTGATGGGTAGGCCGTTGGGGTGAAGAATAAGCTGGCGTTGAAGACTTTTCACGGATCGATTCTGTGACGTTTCGGTTGCTGGCTCTGGCCGCGTCCGCATCGCTCCGATTCTGAGTCCGTGGTACTGAAACCTTCTCACTGTATCCGTGACTTGTTTCGTTCGTAGCTTCTTTCACCTTCACTTCCATTTTCGGGCTTCTGGGAGCATGTGTTTTCTGTGGAGAGTCTATTGGCTTGATCCAGTCGTCACCGTCGATTGCCATATGCTCCGGTGCAGACGCTTCGCGAGATTCCTGACTGAGCACCTCTGACTTTGCACTGGCTGCTGGGAGCTCGGGATAAGCAACGTGAGCGGAGGAAAGGCCTGAAACGGATGGGATGGACTTCGTGGGCCGCGAGGGTTGAAGTTTGCCAAGCATGCTAATCTTTTCGTGAAGTCTCTGAGTGGAAGACTTGGTATGGGCCTTGCTAGCTGTGGCGTCTGCTTCTGCCTCAATATCATCTTGTTGCTGAGCACCTCTTTTGCCCTCATCAATGTCCATATCGTCATCCAGCGCTGGCTCCTCATCCACAGCAGTATTTCTGTGTCCCCCGGTTTGCCGACCAAATGAACTAGGACCTGCAGCATTGTTCACTCTAGTAATATCAATGTGGCTCGTGCGAGAGATTCTCGGGCCGCCCAAACTCTTCTTCAACAGTGGCGCTCGTGCAGGGAGCGATGCAAAGCTCAGACTGCTCTTGCGGATGGGAGGTCTCTCCGGTGTGGAGTTGTCCGAAGGCGTACCGATGTCATCAAGGGAGTCAAGAGGCGTATCGTCTTTTTCATGTATCTCTTCTTCCACCGGAGCTGCTGGTTGTTTCATTGGAGAAGACTTGGTTGGCGATGTTTGTGGTTCCGCCCGTGACTTGGGCTCGGACTCGGCCTCGGCCTCGGGCTCCTCCTCTGCTGCCGAATCGGCCACGACGAATGCTTCGGGCTGCTTCTCCTCTGGCTGAGGCGTGGAAGAAGCCATCTTTTCCTGTTTTGGTGTTGTCTCATTGTTGACAGCCTCTGCAGACTCCTCCATAAGCTCAACCGTCTCTCCGCGTTGGCGTACATCTTCCTGAGCCGAATGGAATGAAGCAGCTGTCGTACGACGATCAATTGACTGTCGCTCCGGTTGGTTTTGGTTTTCGACGGCGGTTATGGGCTCATCTTCGAGAGGTTGGGTGGATGTCTGCGTCTCCGACTGCACTTGGGTGAGAACCACATCATCGTCCTGATCCTCCCCTTCATCGTCTGGCATGCCATGGTAGCCCGAATCGGTGTTATACTGGGGGAACGAGTTCAAATTCTGAGTCAAATCAGGGTACTGAGGTTGCGAGGTATTCTCTGCGGTGTCCTTTGTCTTGATTGGGGAGACTTTTGGCTCCGACGGCGCAGTTGTGATAGGCGCAGCGGTAGGTTTGACAGGTGAACGGGCGGGGCTGACGTTACGACTGCGGTCTCCTTGATTATGAGATGTCGTGAAGATCTCACTCAAAGGCTGATATCGGTCAGTACGAATAATCAACGAAATCAAACATAGCAATGGGTGCGGCCAACTTACAATTCTGTTCTCATTTACATTCCGCTTCCGTGCTGTTCGAGGTGTCTTACCTCGGAGCTTTCCGGGAGTTTTGAACACGTCTGTAAGATTGCTATTTTGCAGTCAGCAAGGGTCGACGGTTTGATTGAGATGTAGATCAGAACGCACAATTGATTGCTGGCGAACACCTCTGCCATGTGCTCATTCAACCAATCCATTTCATGGCGCACAGGATACTCAATCTCTTCCATCTCCTGATCGACCAGCTGCGCAAAATTCTCCTTCTCGGTTGAAATCCATGCTGCAGAGCCCACAGGCTTCTGCACCCTCGGTCCGGCAGGCGCCATGGCGATGTAAACAAATGCGATAGGAAGGATTTACTGGGCGGGTGCGGGATGGATTGATGTAATCACGTAAAGGGCCAAAATGCCCGTTCTAAGGAGTCAGGACCAGGCGAGGTAATCATCGATTTATGGCGTGCTGCGGCTAATGTTTGCTGGCGAACAGTGTGCTGCGGTCGCTCGT